GAGAAACAGAAGAAAAGTCGATCGAAATCAGTGACGATTTTTTCAATCGGGGAAAATAAACCATTGAATGGAAAATCATCATTATCATTATTATCTTCCATTTTAGTTTTTAGAATGAAAATTTATTTCTCATTGTTCATTTTTATTTTTATTTAAATATGAAGATATCTATAGAAAAAAACTATATAGTTAGACATTTAATTATCTCTTTGTCTTATTAATGACTTAATAGATCTGCGTAGGTTACTAATTGAGTTAGTCAATCGAGATATTGCAATGGTCAAATATCAAATGAAATCATGTCGCTAAAATTTCTGAAACGATTATAAAGTACTCAGTGGCATTGATATCGTTTCATAAATTGAGATTATTTATTCATAAATTATCATAGAATTTCAATGTCTACTGAAGTGAACTTATTTCAAACAAATGTATTGATTCTAAATTCTCGTTTTAGAAACAGATTTCTTTATCTTGAAATAAAAGAAAAACGTTCTAATGATAAGTTACTTTTTCAAAATGATAAATATATGCATTAAAAGTTAATAATAATGATAACAGAATTAGAATTCCAATTTCAGTTGCTTTTGTAACTCGACATAATTGTCCTATAAATTCTGGTAAATGGACTGCACCGGATAATGGATTTTTACTAAACAAGAATTAAAGATTACTTTAAATTAAATTCGATTTAATTTTTATATTTCTTACCGATAAATGTGGTACATTGGATGCTGCACAAATATTAAATGGATTATATTCATCATAATTTAATAGATGTTCATCAATTGGATTTTTTTCACGAACATTTAATACTCTTCGTGTCTAAACAAAATAATACAAAAAAAAATTTATTTTTTTGTTCCCCTTCTAAAATAATTCAATCAAAATTATGTTTCATTTAACGCAGAATAAACTCAATTGTTTCCAATAAATCAAAAACACATGAACAACTTCGATCAACAGATTTGATATATCTTGAGTAGACATGTGCGGGACCAGTCCCGGTCCCGGTCCCGGTCCCGGTCCCGGTCCCGGTAGCCGGGACTGGGACCAAAAA